TTTTTGCGTATTACGCGAATATGAATACAGGATGTCAACGATATCAGGTTTTCATTTTCAGTATTTTCAAACGCATTAAAAAGAAAGACATTTTAGAATATTTGTAGGATGTCAGTCTTCAAAAATTGAAAACTTTCACATAAATGTAACACTATGTATGCCTTAAGGACATGGGCAATAACTGTTCGCTAGAGCTTCGTATCTGTTTCTCTCAACAATAATTCGTCCTTTACATGTTCACTTATTTTTCAGGGAGAGGTTCTTTTATCAGTTTGCTTCAATTAGTTAAGCTTCTGTTTCATTGACCCTCTGAACTTTTTATTTTCCAAGCATTCTTTCCTCATTATATTGATTTTACACTATTTCTTCATTTTTCACATAAATATCTGTACTATATTCTTAACATTCGTCGGCGGGATTTTACCTTGGACGCTTTAATTTTTTAATTTTTAACGAGATTCTTCAGGATTTACTGTTATATAAAAGTGAATCGATTTTGGAAATTAGTCGAGCAATTTCACAATGATAATGTTATATATTCTTTCTGAATCTCCGGAATGAAGAAAAAAGATTCTGATTATATACTGAGGGAAGAGATGTCCATATGTCCTCAGATGGTATATGTAAGACCTCGAGATAGAAAACAGTGGAATGTTTTTTGGGGTTTTTTTTATGTCCAGACACTTATATTACCTGTTGTTTTGGGGGCTTTGGGGATGATATCAAAAGATGCAAATATATAAGTGAATAAAATTCATGACGGGCCTAAAATTTGAGAACTATAAAATAAAACCCCATTCATGAGAAGTTCTCACAGGTTGCGTTGATTTCCTTCCATACAGTGACCAAAATTACATTTTTTCCTTTCGGACTTCATGTCTCCTTATCTGTTTACATCTTCTAATAAGGAAGAAGAAATACAAAACAACTCATATTAGGTTTCTTTTTTTGTGGATCTATAGTCAGTTAAAAATGTCATGAAGCCAGTTCTGAGCTTAAGGTTTGATTGTTTGTTTTGTTTTACGGCATATCAACCTTAATGGTTCATTTAATGCCGACAACTTTTTTTTCCAGGTAATATTTTATTTTGTCAAACATCTATTTCTGGTAATATTTTTTTTCACAAAGATGTATAGCTGGCACATTATTTTTTTCAAAAACTTATAACTGTTCATATTATTTTTTCAAAAATATATAGCTGGTAATATTATTTTTTACAAAAACGTATAGCTGGTATTATTATTTTCTCAAAAACGTATAGCTGGTAATTTTTTTTTCTTTTTAAAAACGTATAGCTGTTAATATTTTTTTTCAAAAAAGTTCAGCTGGCAACATCATTTTTTCCAAAAATGTATTATCAGAGGCCTTGCTGTTGGACGCAGTTTATCATCTTACCCAGGACGCGGTTGTAGTTTATCGTCTTACCCAGGACGCGGATGTAGTTTATCATCTTACCCAGGACGCCTAACCTTATGTCACTGATTGTTACCCAGAAGGAAATGTGTATACAACAGAAATCCAAGGAAATAAAAATAATAACAGCAAAAGCAGCAGCAACAACAACAAAACAACACTAATAATAATAATAATAATAATATTAATAATAATAATAATAATTTTGAGTAAATAATATTATGGAGTCGGGTACATTAGTGGTGATCACCTGCAGTAAAATTATAAACTGAGCGTTGAGGCTAAAATTCTATTAAAGGATCCCTCAGATTCTCATATAAGATGAAGGGAGGGTGATATAAAAACAGCTGCTTTTATATACTGCCAGTCAGTGTATATTAACGAAGGCTACCGACGTTTGTCAAAATCATGTTGTGATTTGAACTCGCAAACACTAGGTAGAAAGGCAGCGTCCGCCTCACAAATCTCCCCTGTCTTTTGAACAGGAGTTAAGGTTTATCCCTTGTTTGCTGTTTAGGATTGAATTACTGGCTTTTTTTAAAGCTCACTTCAAATCTACACTCCTAACCTCTCCAAATGAGCTGTAAATTTCATTCATTAATTATTGATTTATTTCTCTTTCTTCTTTCCTAAAAGGATTAGATAGGCACATCTATCGTTCAGTTTACACTCTTCCCCGATCTTGTGAACCGGATTAGTGGTCTATCCAATCGGATTTCTGGTTCGTACTAAAGCCTACTTCTACACTATACTTTTGCCGTCTCCGACCGTACTCGAAAATGTTAATCACTAATTAATTCTTGACCTCTTCAAGTCTAGACTTAACTGTTATCTTTCCTGCAAAGCCTCAGGAACTACACTCAAACGATATCACACAATAACTCTCTAACTTGAGTGGCTCTTTGGCCTTGCATTGGTAAAGATTAGTAAAATATATCCTACAACAGACTTTTAGAAATTTACCTAGTCTGGTATATAATCACAGAGAAGGAGATCCTCTTCTGCCAATCTTTCATGTGAACAGAGACAGACCACCCCCACCTTTTAAACGGCATCAAAAACTGAAACCCGAGTACAATAGTCTAATAAAGTATTAAGCAAAAAATGAAACACTAATCGTAACTGGGATTATTTTAAGCAGTTGGGAGAGGATTATGATTTCGTAATATTGACTGTTGTATATTAGTGTTATGATCTTGATTTAGGGTTAGTAGAGACAAACGCCAAATAACACGTAACAATAAAAAGGGTTTTAATAGGTTGGTAAAAAAGGTACAGAAATCGCCTGAGTAGTCAATAACTAGCTCAGCTAAGAACTTCTCTGTCTATCTGTCTTGGTATTTATCGATCCACCCACGAGAACTGAATATGGCACAAGGCCGGTTTAATGTGGGTATCTCCGGGCCCGTAGGCTCGGCCAAAAATATAGCCTTTGAACCCGCCTAGACGGGTTCAGGCCCTGTCTACCTCCCTGGACGAAACCTTGCCCTTCGGCAAAGCTTCGTTCGGGTTCCTCTCTGCTAACGCAGAGAGTTCGACAGACGTCGCTTACAGTCAAAGACTGTATCACGACTCAGCTAGATTCGGAGGTCATACACTCTCTGTCTATCTGTCTTTTTCCATGTCAACTGACATGCCACTATTTAAATCTTTGTTCACAGACGCAGACAACTTCATCTTCAAGAGGGGTGGTCGGTTTCCGACACAACAATTTGGATATAAGAAAGTAACTTAAGGTGTTGTTTAGGAAAAAGCAAAAACCCGTTGATAAGAAGCACTGAAATTGGTTACTGTCTCACAACAGTCGAAATGTGAAATGAAACGTTAAACAAAACTCGAATAAAAAAAAGAATAATCCAGAAATTTGAAGAAATAAAGATTAAAAACGACGACATGATCAACAAAACCGTTGAATTAAGAAAATACACAGTATAGGACATAATAATAGAAAACCGATCGGCAAGATTATTATTTAAAAGCAAACTAAGACTTGTGGAAATGGCAGAAAAATGTGACAGAATTAATTCCCGACGAACTAACTATGCTTGAACGTCGTGGAAAAAAATAAATAAATAAATAATAATAACATCAACACCAACAACAATAATAGTAATGATGATGGTGATGATGATGATGAAAAAGTAAAAGTAAAACGTTGAACGAAACGAACTAAAATAATAATTAAAAAAAAAACATCAAAGATGTTATCTGGAAGGTAAAAAATCCATTTTGTCACGGAAGATTCCTGTCATAAAGAACAGTAACAAAAAATATATATTTAAATATGGACATTGTGTTTTAGAAAGAGAAAAAATGAAGTCTGTAAATTCTAGTGCATTTTTCTGGTCTTTGACATTTTTCAAGAGGAACTTAAAATAATTCTAATTATCACCGTTGCATTCTTTATTATCAATTTTCAGTATCGCTTTTCGACAAATATTTACAAACTAGATTTCGTTTTTATGTTCACTGTAATAAAACAAAAGATACGCACTTGACAATCTATTGATGGCAGACCCATCAAGAAAACTAAAAAGAAACTTCACATGATGACTCCCAATGGCCTGTTCATAAATCTAGAAACATGCGGTTCAGGTGCAATCTGGGCGTATCGGTTTTTGGGTTTTATCGATTTTCCGCGCTGTTTAGGGGTCCGTATTCATGAAACTTCTGGACAACACTTCTAATGGTAGACTCTAAGAGGGTGTCAAATTTGGTTGAAATGCGATCATTCCTTCTGTAAGCAGAATTTTTTCGATTATCGATTTTTTCGATTATCGATTTTTTCGATTATCGATTTTTTCGATTATCGACTTTTTCGGAACCTGATTTCCGAACTCAAAAATCGGGCTCCTTCATGTCCTTACGGCAGCCATTTGCAAACTTGTGTTGAAAACTGCATCGAAATCGGGTGATAAATAGGGCCTGGGCGAGGTAACAACGCCCACGACAGACAGACAGACAAACAACATGAGAAATATAGATAGTAGATAGATAGGACTAGCTATCTAATATGAGAAGCGAGAATGGATGGATGTCCGAAAAAGAGACAGCTCGTTTTCTATGTATGCCTGGCGTCAAAAACAAGGAGGACCAAAAAATACAACTGCATAATTTAGTAACAGAATTGGGAAAGTGTGACAACGAAATTAAAAGGCACAACAGAATAGCAAAGTTTGTCATATGGTGAACAAGTAAAGCAATAAAAAAAGATGCTTGCCTGTGGTGAAGTACATAATAACTTAAATATTTTTATTTTGTAAAAAATACAAAATTGTGGCACAAGGCCGAAGGGGAGATGGGTAAATGCTTGTCTTTGACTAGGTATCCTATTCCTAGTTAACCACAATCATGACCCATTCATTCATTACAATTACACATTCACCACCATCACTTTTCAATCTTTGAACTTATCCATCACTTTTCAATCTTGCACACACCAAGAAACCTCAAATGATGGGAATACCACATATTCAAAGGGTCCTACAAAAAACCCATGGGATTAAAAAACTTCGTAAGAGACTAAAATCATGGGGAGGGGTATATGATGGGTATACTCCGACCAGAAACAATGGGGAGGCAGAAACCTATATGATGGCGAAAAAGAAAAATGATGGGGGTACAAGTAACTCAAAATGATGGGGGAGGGCATGAACCCCTGACAAGAAACTAAATGATGGGGAGGGGACACCGACAAGAAATTCAAAAATCACAGATGGTATGAAACTAATTATGGGGGAGTGGGTATGGGAACCCGAGAAGAAACTCAAAATGATGGGAGGGGGGGTGAACCCCGACAAGAAACTCAAAATGATGGGAGGGGGATGAAACCCCGAGAAGAAACTCAAAATGATGGGAGGGGAAAAATCAAAATGAGAAGAAACCAAAAATGATGGGGAGATTGTAAACCCCGAGAAGAAACTCAAAATGATGGGGAGGGGGTAAACCCTGAAAGAAATCCCCCGACGAGATGGTATGAATCCTGAGAAGAAACTCAAAATAATGGGGAGGGGTATGAACACCGACAAGAAGCTCAAAATGATAGGGAGGGGGTATGAACCCCGACAAGAAACTCAAAATGATGGGGAGTGGGTATGAACCCCGACAAGAAACTCAAAATGATGGAGAAGAAACCCGAGAAAAACCCATGGGGGAGGGGGAAACTGAGAAGAAAACTCCAAAATGGGGACAAAAACTCAAAATGATGGGGAGTGGGTATGAACCCCGACAAGAAACTCAAAATCATGGGGAGATGGTATGAAAGTCGAGAAGAAACTCAAAATGATGGGGAAGGGGTATAAACCCCGAAAAGAAACTCAAAATGTCATAATAGCTTAAAAAGAGATGTTGTTCTACCGATGAATTTGAAGAATACCATGAACAGAGCATGTGAACAAGGGTGACATTCTAAAATAATTAATGCTTAAAAAATAAATTATACTAAGATATTTGCACAGTAATTGCGTTTTACATATTAAAATTTGTTGGTGTTAAATCTAGCGAGTAGGTTTGAGTATCAACTTTCGTTAAGATTTTATTTTCTCTAGGGCGAAACTTACAAATAGTACCCTTGAATTGGCATGTTAGATAACAACATGTTAAATCTATACCAGTGCAGCATAATTTTTCTGGGGCGAAACTTACAGATAGTACCCTTGAATTGTCATGTAAGATAACAACATGTTGAATCTATACCAGCGCAGGATAATTTATATCTAAATTATCCTAATAAATGCTTCATTTATTTCGATCATGTTCCTGGCAAAAAAAAAAAAAAAAAAAAAAAAGCTTATCTGGTTACACCATGTTTCCAAGAACATAATGAACTATCGCTATATTGTAGCCGACACAAAACATGGATTCTGTGGATCGAGTTTTGCTTTTTCTGTTACCACATTTCTCTTCAAATCTTAATCAGAAAATATAATTTTACTATTTGATACAGTAAGTCTATGATCTGATGGGAGGGTAACAATACGGCTATCGGTGCGCAAAGGAAACAATCCTTGTGCTGACTTCAGTTTCCCTCCTAGACTGCTGTGTCTGTTTCATACAGTTGTCGTTGATAAGGTAAGTAACCAGTTGTTCTACTCGCAATACTATAGATTACATAACTATAAAACTGTTAAATGTAGCCGTCTCTTCTACTCCAATAGCTTCATGTCTGACACCTCTCGCCTGTGGAACTCCCTCTCCTTTTCTGGATTCCCTGATAGCTATAATCTCCAACTATTCAAATGTAATGTCAATCGACGTCTCCAGATGCCTTGATCTATCCCCTATCCTTCTCTTCATCTTTTCCTCTATCACTCCTCTTTGCTCTCGCTACAACTCTCTGTAACCCCTTGCGTGCTAGTGGCTTTCCGCCTTCCTTGGAGTGAAACGCTTAAAAAAAAGGGTATGGAGTGCCTACTAGATTTGGCTAAACGTAAGTCTCGGAGAATAACATCTCTTAATTTAATGAGTAATTAATCCATTATCATTCCGAAAATTTATGGTTAGGCTCAAGGTAAGGTAACAGAGGTTGTCTACCGAGGGGCCATGAAAGCCGAATGCGCCTTTGTGCGTGTCGCCTGTTATGTGTTTGGAATCATCCAAAACTAAAACTTATAAAAACATACTTGCGGTCGTCCATTCCTCACGAGAGATTAAATTGTTAAACGTACTTTCAATCTCATCCAAGGTCAATTCATTTTGTGTCTTAGTAATTCGCCGCTGAAGATGAGACTGAAATTACATGGTGGTTAAAAGAAAAGACTATGGCGTCTTCCTTAATGAATTTACTAACAACATTAAGAAATTAATCCCAGAATTTGGAAGGATTAAAATAAAAATAAATAGGCATAATCCCAGATTATTCAAAAAATAATCTCTCACACACTATCTTTTACATATACAAATTTGAATGGGGATGAAAATTATTAAAAAGTCAATTTCTAGCATTATGTGTATAAAGATATTAAATGTATCTCATATAGTCACTGGTCAGATGCCAGGATATAGAGATTAGACAATTATTAATGTGCAGTTTGATCATAATCAACAACATGTTGTCATATAGACCAGTGCATAGAGAGAGAAATCGAGAGAGAGAGAAAGAGAGAGAGAGAGAGAGGCGGGGTAAAGCTAAATGTACTCACTTTTTAACTTCCAATAATATATTGATTGTTTTTTATTCTTTTCCAGATACATATATTTAATTTAATATTTCATTGACACCGTTAATTTTCTTTGCAATAATATTTCTTAAGTATAACCATCGATCCTGTTCGCTAGGCAATAAACACTGCATTGATTGTCATTTTAAAAACCAGTGAATTTTTACTGCACCAAAATATATGACCATGGTGAGAATGGAACGCTTGACACATGACCGGAATTCGCGATTGGGTGACGCATCCATCTATCTATCTATCTATCTATCTATCTATCTATCCCTAAGAAATATAGTTTTAAGATGTGCTATATTTATGGGATAAAGTGCTCAATATCAGAGATAGAGCGTGTGTAAATATAAAAGTGAACATTGAAGTTGACACTCAGAGGCGACATGCTGTTTCATGCTAGACGCAATGGTAAGATGGCCTGTGCGCACTCTGCTTTGTTTCTTGATGTCAGCTTGGGACATAAGGTCGATTGATGTAGGGAGCCCGAGAGCGTACACCCGGGCTAGGAACAAATATTTCCCGAGCCCTCGCAACCGTTAGTTACGCTGGTCTCGGTGCTAGTACCGATTTTACCCTCTAGTGGACGCGCGAAATTGTATTAAATGACGACAATTTACCTATCGCAACAAATACATATATATATATATATATATATATATATATATATATATATATATATATATATATATATGTGTGTGTGTGTGTGTGTGTGTGTGTGTGTGTGTGTTGTAATGTAGCCAGTCTTTGATACAGAAGCCTTCTCAGGCACATTTGTTTTTTGCTACATAGACAATCTTTAGTTTTCAGTGTAACTAAGATGAATGAAGCTGAGAGTTTCTGGGTAGGGTCGAATCCTCGGTCACGGTTGTGTTATTATGCTAGGACAACTATTGACATTTTCTGAACATTTATATCTACCTGATACCAGTAACCAGTATTGTGTCAAATCGTGGCATGGTATTTTAGCCATTGCTAAATTTGTCGCTCGGTGGAATCGTCTCTACCAGCCGATAGCATCATCTCCCTGTGAGATATGTTGCCGGGTTTCCTGGAAAAGTGAACATTCTAACCACACGGCCGCATTCACGCGCCTAATATATACGATCATGTACACATACACACACACACAACACAACATATATATTTAAAGATATATATATATATATATATATATATATATATATATATATATATATATATATATAAGGCTCAAACATTAATAGTCCATGGTTATTGGATCGTAAATTATAACCAGGGAATATTAGGGTTTCAACCTTTTATATTATAGTCTTACTCTATCGTTTTTACGTTCTACCTGGATTCTATCCTGTTGGAACTTTATATATATATATATATATATATATATATATATATATATATATATATATATATATATATATAATATTTCTTTAAAAATATGATTCCAAATCATGACATTATTTACCTCACCAGTTCCTTCCTATTTTCTATATATTTTCACACACACACACACACACACACACACACACACACACACATATATATATATATATATATATATATATATATATATATATATATACCATTGATATTATATATATATATATATATATATATATATATATATATATATATATATATTGTCTTCTTGAGAAAAATAGGTCTTCTCTAAAGAGTTCACAAAGACAGTAGAAAGCGAGTTCTTGTTGATATAATGAATAAACTACAAAGGAGAATATATTATCTACCTTTTGTCAAACTCTCTAGAGATGCAAAAAATACACAGACAAAAAGATAAGCGTAGAATCAAAATTACATTAACGAATGACGAACAAGTAAAATGGTGGCAAGATGGCTACCTCGATTGATGATTAATTTTTTTTAGCTCCAAGGTTGTCGCCTTCGCATGAAGATGAATTATGATTTCGCAAGCGCACTTCGTGCTTTAAAGAGAAATATGGTTTAATCTTATTTCTACAGTCTTATGTGAATTACCATATTTAGAGTCAAGACAATTTAAAGAATATTCGACAGGGAATTGTGCATATAATTTAGAAACATGGAAGGAAGTTAAACAACACAGCCTATGATAAAAAGCAAACAAAATAGGAGATAATAGGAATTAAAATATGAAAGACATTTAATAGACTATAGGACAATAATGGTGAACAGTGATGTGTTATTTGTAGGGATATAATACGCGTATATTGGTAGTAAAGTGTGTTTAGTAAATTCGTTTCATTTTAAGACATTTTTAGATTTATAAATTCTTTTTTAATAGATACAAATATTTATGTAAATGCTCTGTTTATAATAAACAGTATTAACAGCATTTACCGGCCTGAGTGTCCGAGAAATTGTCATAGAAAATATGCGTCCTCCGACAGGAATCGAACCTGTATCCTATACGGAACCGTCATATAGTCTGACGTGCTTTTACCGATTTCGCCACAGACGAGTGTTCGGTTATCAAGTTCGATTTTACTGTTTTTAAACTACAATGTTTACATGACTTTCTCACGTACATACATATATGCTCGATGCGTATCCAAATGTAAACAAAAAGTGTTTTAAAATGATTGTCGGACTTTGTCCATTTCATAAAATAGTATTATCTATAAAACGTTATATCATTGAACGGCGAAAGCGTGATAAGTCGTAAAAAAGCCAATCAATCAATCAAACCAATATATTAATATGCGTTACAGTTTCAGTGATGAGACTAGTCTGTAGTTCTTATAGAATATAACTGACATAATCCGACTCAAAAGCCTTGGCAACCCACAAGGACTAAACGAATTTCATTAATGAAATACTTTACGAAATTAGATTACAAAACTATCGGACTATTTACCTTCTCTACGGGAAATCTATGGTCAATCCTAGTTTTGAATCGCCCTTTCGGCTTCAGAATACGCCCATTACACTTCTGCAGAGCTGTAAGACACTTTACCAAATGAAGCCACCTGTTTGCCGTGGGTAGAGATCTAGTCTTAGACATGACTGCAAATATCGTAGTTTTGAACACTTATTTGGGAAGTGCATCAAATAGTTTAACCAATGCTCAGATTCTGTATTGAATACAACTATAATGATTTGTGTAACCCTCACCTGTCAAGTCGACTGGGTGTCCCACTTGTCACGCCCAAATGCTGGCCTGCAAGGTGTGTGGGGAGCACAGGTAGTGAATGTCTTCATGAAAATAATGAACAACCAAAAGAAAATATCTGTCTATATTTCTGAGATGAGGATTTATGTACACTATTTACATTATTCGGACTATCGTCCTCATCTTTGTCGCCATATTTACTACAAGGTTAAGGCCGGTGTACGCTCCGGCCTTCATCAGGTGGTTGGAATGTCGAACTGAATCCTTTATTTCGCTCACTGGGCTAGACTGTTCTAGTTCCACGTGCCATGTTTAATGGATGTCAGTTATCAGATATACCTTGTTAATTTCCCTCTGAAATTTCTCAACTGCCTTAGCCGGGTATTGAACTCAGACTCTTTGGGTCCTGTCACTGGATCTAACGCCTTAATCCATTGTATCTTGTGTCAGAGTGGAAGGTAAGAATAAATCAATTCCGTCAGTCAAATCAGCTTTAGATACAGATGTAAATTCAAAGACGAAATCCCATACACTGACTTTAAGGAGGTCATTGACAAATAATTTCAAAAGAATGTAAACAGTGCTGGAACCCTAACCTACAGAATAATTCTTCGCAATTCGGCGCAAACAAGGAGAATGAAAGTCAACTTCAGAAAATCTCGAAGGGAAGAATTCATACTGGACTGATAAAGCATTGGCCACAAGAGAATAAACCACTCGTACTTGCTAAACAACGAATATTAATCAGTATGTCAAGCATGTGAAACGTCATACACTCCTAAACATATATTAACCCAGTGTTCAGACCTTGCTCTCGCAAGACGAAAATGCTATAATTTAAACAACATTTACGAGATATTCGAGAATGCAAAAGTGGGTGACGTAATATAATTTTGTTAAAACAGTGGGCCTCTATCAAGAAGTATAAATTTAATGGCAATGTCTTTAAAATGAATTCCTCTACAAAATGTATAGCTGAGAAAAAGAGAGAAATGAAACAAGACTCTTGACTAAAATCTCTCTTTACAAAAATACGCCAATGAAACCTGATTTACAAACTTAAATATTACAAAGAATGCATATTCTTTTCAGACAAATCTATTGTAAAAATCTTGTCGGTATTAAATAACCCGTTGATCTTGATAGGCCGTAAAACAACAAAAAAAGCCAAACCTAGTTTTCAGCTTAAATAAAGTCATAACATCATCGCCTCATTTTCTGGCCAATGGTTGAGGTGCCATAGATGACTTGGCAACCATTTTCCTTCATCTCTCCCAGTATTGAGATTTTTTCAGGGTACCACTGACCTCATAACTATCTATTCTGGGCTATTGTTCCCCCACGCATCTTTTTCTCTTCGTGATTTTCCCCCATCCACCTGGGACCTCACAGATTTTTTTTTGGCAACCCCAACTGATCGAAAGAGATCATCTGGGTTTGCCAAAATAATTTTTAGCATAATATATATATATATATATATATATATATATATATATATATATATATATATATATATATATATATATATATATATATATATATATATATATGTGTGTATACATATATATATATATATATACATACATACATATATATATATATATATTTAAATAATTCATCGAGTCTGAAATATATATATATATATATATATATATATATATATATATATTTCTACGGCCCCAAAATTATTTGAAAGAAATTCAACAACTGACTTGATAATCTTTGTTGAATAGTGAGGTGTTTTTGGTTTTTTTTTTTGTTTTTTATCATCAGCTGACATTTAAAAATATTCAGAAATTTTGAAATAAATATGGAGGACAGGTGGTGCAATCCTTTATTGATATGTAAGTTTGATGTAAAGAGGGTGCTCCATACATGCGGCCTTATGCCACATCTAAACAATGCTTACAAATCAGTGTAATAGATATGGATATATTCAGTTGTATTTGGAAAACGATTTTGAAATAATTAATTCTTCAGATTTTTCAACAATTACTGTATTTATCTTTAGAATATGACCTGCAGAATCATAGATTAAACAAATACATCAAACCCTTTATTAAATCTAAAGTTTCAGGCAAATGGTATAGATTATGAAGTATCAACTGCATTAAGAAATATGTAACTGGAGGTTCTCGATTTAAACCAAAATTTAAACAGATTGAAATTAACAATAATATATTCATGAAATTGT